TGTGAGTTCGAGGCCAGCCTGGGCTACCAAGTGAGTTCCAGGAAAGGCGCAAAGCTACACAGAGAAACCCTGTCTCGAAAAACCAAACCAAAAAACAAAACAAAAAAAAAAATCACCATAGACTTAAAGTCTTAAATATATTTCCAGTGATTTCTTATCATACAGAGAGATCAACAAATTTGCTTTCTCTGTCAGAACGTTTTGAAGCCAGAAAAGAAGAGGTGATTCATCAAAAACAATTTTATTATGAAATTTGATTTATGTTGAAAAATATAAATGATGACGTTATAATGTGTACCTCTGCGTGGAGGGAACACATTTTAGTCAATTGAGTTATCCAATTTTATTATTTTAAAAAATCCATATCTGGTTGTTCTTTTTACTCGAAAAAATTTATAGTGCTATATAGAGTAGAAATGTGTGTTTTTCAAGTCCACAGACAGCTATGGATTGTACTCCCCTAATTCCAACAGAGTCATTCATTACAATGAATAAATATTCTCATATTTTCATCAATTTCTTTGTGAGTACATAGAAACTAGTATTATATTTAAAATAGCACATTTCATTAGAAAACTGCACAGAGTAAAAAAAAGCTTACTTATATCAATACTACAATTAAAAATGACACTACAGAAGTTGTGGTTTAGACAATTTAAGACTTCTGAATTATTATCTTTTTTTTTTAACCAAAAGCAGAGATAACAAAAAAGAAAATGAATTATATTGTATGTTGTAATTTCTCTGTCAATAAGTACTTAGTTCCTTTGTCTGGGAGAAGGGCAGTAATTGATTTTAAATAGGCTCACTGTTTTTGACAGAATGAATATATAATTTTAATATACTCAATAGTGACTGTCTTACATACATATACATTTATATTCCCGTTTGTACCTATTATTAAATTTATCCAGGAAAAGTTTCACCTCAATTTCAATAAGCATCACCTGATCCATTAGACCATCTAGAACAGCAGTTCTCAACCTGTGGGTCGAGGTCCCTTTCACAGGGTCACCTAAGACCATGGGAAAACACAGATATTTACATTATGATTCATAACAGAAACAAAATTACAGGTACAAAGTAGCAATGAAAATAACTTTATGATTAGGGGTCAGAACCACAGTGTGAGGAACTGTACTAAAGGGTCGCAGCACTAGGAAGCTTGAGAACGCTGCTATAGAAGGTCTGAAGGAACACACCAAGACTCTTGCAGATAGTATGTGAATTGCTTTGCAGAATATCACTTGTGCTTGGAGTGTTGACAGACTTCAGTCTTAGATATGTAGTCTGGAGAAGCCAAATCTCTCCAAAGAAATCGTCACCGTGAGATATAGTCCTAAATGAAGATTTGCTAATAGTTCTGAAGCAGGTTTGGGGTGTAGTTAAAGCCTTTCTTCCTTATGAACCCACATGAAGAAAATGAGTCATTTTTTACAATTATATTAAAGGTGCCTTGTTTGCCAGGGAAAACTTTCATGAATCTGTTCCCTTTCCCCCATCATCTTTTTCTCCTTCCCTGTCATTGCCACATGCCCTAGTAAAACAGAAAAACTAAAAGCAGAATCTACATCTTCAATTATATTTCCAATTACAGCAGTCTCAATGTTATGTCATCAATATGGATATTTTCTTGTTTTCTTCAGCCATGTTCTATTTTATTTCAAAAAGATCAGTTTCTTCCCTATGGTTTTGATTCCCTTATACAGTAGGAGTTAGGCTAGAACTTTCTATCTAAAACTGATTGGCATAAATGATTTGGTGGGATATTTACCATGTATGATAACTGAGATTTTTTTTTCATGTTCTAATAAAACCTTTTATCATGGGAACTCCTCTCTTGGTTCCTCTTCCGTGTTTTGAGACAAAAAATCTCATGCAGCTCAAGCTGTCTTGGACTTTTCTATGTAGCTGAGGATGGCCCTGAACTTCTGATTCTTCCGTCAACACCTGCTGAGTGAGGGTCACACGTGGGCTACCACACCTGTTCATGCACTCTTGGGGATCTAACAAAGCTACACGCTGCCCCAACACTCTACCAACCGAGTTGCATCCCCTAGCCCTCCTTTTTTCTTCTTCCTCTTTCTTCCTTTGAGGTCTTGCTGCCCCCAATTTCCCAGCTCGGCTTTCCTACCTCGGCCTGTCAAGTAGCCGGGACAATAGGCACACATGACCAGCACAGCACATTCAGTTTTAACTCCTCTTCTTAAAAGCTTCAGGCTCTCCCAGGCCCTGGTTACTGTACTGTGTTCCCCACACCCAGCCAATAGAAAAGCATAACCCACCTGCTAGTCTTTGGTCTCAGTTTTTTTAACGAGTTTCCTCTTCCTGCCTTCTACACTGGGACCTTTGGAATTCTAAGACGCCAGAGTAAAGATGGGCAGTCACTCTTGCAATGTCTTTCCTAAAAAGCTTTCCTTCAAAAACACAGTTTTAAACGGGCTTTCAAAGGACACCATCTTGCCCTCTTCCCCTTGAAAAAGAGCTGGGCGCTTGTCTTGGGCATTGCCACCTCAGACGCAAGACAGACTTCTGCTGTCTGTGGATTCTTAGAAGAATTCTCACTGGAGAGTGCAGAGTCCATGAGGGAGAGCTCAGGCGAGAAGATGGAAGGTGTAGACAAATAATTTCAGGGCAAGTAGGGAAAAGAAAGGCCTGATTTAGGATCCATGTGGTTCCTATATTTAATAAAAACTTGGGAAACAGTTTGTGGTTCTTTCTTTCTTTTTTATAAAGTACCACACTTTTGTGTCTTATTTTAGGTTACTGGATGATGGCTATGTGACATCAGCAGAGTCTTCCCAAACCAACAGACACAGTGCAGCATTATCCTGAGTGAATTTTACATCAGAATTATTTCTTGGGGCTATTTTCTGTAATTGTTTGAACAACTCTATTAAAGCATCAGTGCCCTTCAAGAACTTCTATGTGTTTGCCGTTTTGTGTGTTTAGGATGAGCACAAATAAAAGAGGGACCTGGGGTTCCTCTCTCAGACCAGCACTTTGGGAGACCACCCAGAGACCTTGCTACCTGCATGAGAAAGGACCGCTTAGACTAAGGATGCAGAAATAAAGACTACCCAGAGGTGGCGCTGTGGTTAAAGTACACCTGGATTTTGATTAAGGCGAGTGGATCACTTCCTACCCTTTGGAGAAGATGGTAGCCTCTACCACCTTTGCATTTCTATAACCACAATCATCAGTAAATACAGCTTTCTGGTGATATATTCCCACCCTCTCCACTTCACTGGAGTATGTGTGCTGACTTCACATACAATTAGAACCAAAACAGTAAAACCACCACTGAAAGCATAGGCCCTGTGTAGCCTGGAGACACAGGTTCAAAGTTCCAGCATTCTCTCTTTTCTTCCTTCCTTCCACAAAAACTACCTGGATCTTTAGAGAACCACTCAGTGAAAGCAGAGCACATTCCTGCTTAAATGTATAAGATTTTATTTTAGAATTAAAATTTCATTTTAGTGTTCATACTTGAAATATCGTTGTTCACTATGATGCTGTTTTGTGTTCTGGTTTTAAAAAAAATCAGTTAAAAAGGAAAAATAATGACCATATGGTTTAACATCTTCATTTTTTTCTAGATAAGAAAGTGATTGAAAAGAGATGGAAATCTTCTCATCTGACATATTTGATCACAATAGCAGCCACTGAGATCTTGTACCAGCTGGACAAGGTGGTGTAGGCCCGAAATCCCAGAACTCAAAAGAAGGCAAAGGTAGAAATATCTACTTTGAGTCTGGTCTCAAAAACAGAAATCCTTGTGTTTACCTAGCTTGGGTTGATTTAAATTATTAACAAGGCAAAAATGAACCCAGGAATTACAATTTATTATTCTTTCATGGTGTTTTTTCCTCCTTTGAATTTAAAAAAAAACTCTTTCCTAAATTGGGCTGCTTTCATCATATTCATCTGCCCCCCCCCCCCCGTTTTCTGCATAGGACATTCCAATTATTAGTATCACGTCGATGATTTTGATAAGAATGCTTTTAATATGTGCACAAGGTGTGGTGAGCATGCAACGTTAAATACAAACTCACAAAAATAATTTTTAACCGTAACATAGATGTTTTTGCCTGTTTTTTTTTTTTTTTTCAACTTCTTTTCCTCAGTCTAGCAGGCCTGTGTGTAACACAGTATGAAAGCTTGTCCCACAGGCTGGTGGTAGTTAATGATACTTAGCAGAAGGGCTTTGCACTTCCATGATAATTTCCAACAGAAAAAAATCTCTCTGGAACTTACGATTAATAATCAATCCTAATATTAACCTCAGACCAGAGATTTATTAAACCTACTTGGCAGAATAAAGTCGAATAACTAGAGACTCCGGGATCTAGGCTGAGCTCTGGCCCTGGGAAAAGGCTCTGGATCTAGCGTTCCTCAGATCTTGGTATGTACCAGAAATGACTAGTCTTCCTTTCTTAGGGCTGTGAGCTAGCAGGTCTGGCAAAGGCTTGTATCGCTTCGGGGCTACGAGAGAGCTAGCATATCATCCCCCAGACTGAGGGAGAATGATGAGCAAAGGCTTTTCTATAAAGTTTTCTTCATCTCTGAAAACCAAGTGTGTGATCTGTGTCCACCAGCAACTGACAAGCATCTATGAATTGCCTGCCCCATCCAGTTTACCCGGGTTAATGAGAGCAAGATGGGGTTAAGCAGGCAGTTCTTAGGTAGGAACCACTTCCCACTTTCCCCAAGGTTTTGAAATCTGCAGTCCCGTGAATTAAACAAAACACCCGCCTTTGCGCCGGTGTGAAGTCCACCTCCCTCCGGCAGAAGGAATCCTCTACCCTAACAGGAAGAGACCCATTTCTGGGAAAGTAAGTTTCCGAGGGTCTGCTCTCTGGGCCAGGGAAGGCGATCCCCGAGGCCCTTCGGGGGCGGCTCCACGCGTCCCCACGCGCCGGACAGGCAGGTGTGGTCCCGAGCCTGGGCACGCGCTCCCTGGCCGCGTCCCCCGCGTCACCGGGGTCCCTTCTCGTCGTCCCCCCCCTACCCCGGCCCCCCGCCTTCCCGGGCCGGGCCCGCTCAGCCGCTCGCCTCGCTCCCCGCCCCCCGAGTCTCGTTTCAGTCACCCTTTGTCCTTCCCCGGATTGGCAGGTTTTATTATTCCGCCTGAACAATCCGGCCGCCCAGTGGCTGAGGGTCGCTGACGTCGGCGGCAGAGCCGGGGAGTAGTTGGGATTCTGCTCTGTCAGTAACACATGTGTAAGCGCCGCCGAAGGAGCGAGCGAGCCGGTTAGAGGCCCGCGCCGCCGCCTCCGAGCCGGGCAGCAGCAGCGGGGCAGCCGATCGGTCCAGCGCTCCCGGCCAGCCCGCAGCTCTCCACTCCGTGCGCCCTCGCGCGGGCCGCGGGGCCGAGCTTGCACCGCCGCTCCCGGGCCGCAGGTCGCGGGAGGGGGGAGCTCGGCCGAGCCGCCGGCGGCCCCGAGCGGGCGGGCGGGAGGAAGGCGGCGGCGGCGGAGGAGGAGGAGCGCGGGCGCGGCGGGGGCGGGAGCGCGTACAAAGTGAAGCCACATTGCCAAACTTGCAGCCGCGATTGCAGCAGTGGCTGCCGCTGCACCGCACGGGCCGGGCCGAGGGCGCCTGCAGCTGCTCGCGCGCAGCCGGGGGCTGAGGACCAGGACCCGCGGGCTGAGACTTGACACTTCTGCGCCGGGCCGCCTGCCACTTAGCGTGGGGCTCCCTCTACCCGCCCCAGAGCCACGCGATTAAAAAAAAAAAAATCAGCCCTTAGCCCCCTCCTCCCCTTTCCTGCTTCTGCGAGAACTCCCTCCCTCCTTCCAGCTCCGCCGGCCCCGGCGCCCCTGCCCTGGAAGCCGAGCGGCTCCGCTCGCATTTCGCCGCCGCCGCCGCCTCTCGCAGTATTGCAATATAGGGGAGAAGCAGGTAAGGGGGTGGCTGGGGGCACCGCGGCCGGGGAGGGGGCGAGGGGGGGGGAGCTGATCGGGGCCGGGGCTGTTTTCTTTGGCTTCCTTCCCTTGACCGTCCCAAATTGCAAGTAAACAATACGTCGCCTTAGATAATGCGTGAGTCTGAAACTACCGGAGGCCGGCCTGCGAGCTAGCACGGAGGGCAGCCCCGGGCCGCCAGCTTTGTAGCGGTTCCTTGCTTACAAAAGGGTTCTTCTTGGAGACCGGGCTGGTGGGGACCCTGGAGAGGGCTGGGGGCAGTTTCAGTTCCTAAAGGAAAGGCAGGGGCTGCTTAGATGAGAAGTGGTGTGTGCGTGGGTGGGGGCGATAGTCGTGACCCCCCCCCCCCAACACTATTTGAAACAGGGACCGAAAAGCTCTAAGTGACCAGGATCCGGCATTGCCGGTTCTTTTTAAAAGAATTCCTCTTGGCTTATAAGTCTTTTGTTCCAATCCAGGAGAAATCCGGTGAATCACCTAATTAAAATCAAGACATGAATTAAGCATCCATTTTTGTACTACAAATGGCCAGCGCTACGTTTGTCCCTCCCTTGGTCTCCATTAAAAAACACCAGAGACGTTGTTAAAGGGGGGCAGATTTTGCCTCTAGCTGCCAGCTCTGCTTTCTATTTCACTGACTATCCCAGGACCTAAATTGCTTGGCTATGTAATTACTAGAGTATAAGCCTATTTAACTTAAAAGCTTTCTTTCTTTTTTTTTTTTTCCAACTCTAAATGAAACTTGATGAGGGCCCGTCCTTAGTTATCAGGGGAGTCAGTTTCTGGTCAGTCCTCTTGATTCATCTCTTTTAGATTTAATCAGCATTAAGGTATTGCTTGTCCTTAAGAGCTTTAGCTAATGGGGTTACTGGATGCTTTTCTCAGTGTAATGTTTCCTTTTCAAAAAAAATACATATATATTTACCTCTCACTAAAGATGGGGGCGGGGAGCAGCTTGGAATCTCCTCCCTCCCCCTCCCCTCTTAAAAAGGAATTCGGAGCGATTAAAACGTTGAGGGGGAACAGTTTAAAGACCTAGGGCAGGAAATGCAGATTCATTTGGGTTAGGGCTGAAATTGTAACAAAAAGCAATTCCTCGAGTAAATGCATCAGATAAATCAATTTACATAAAGGTATGATGCATTCGGATAAATGCAATGCTAATGGGTTTTAGAGCGGTCCTGTTTCCAGAGTCTCAGGGTTTTGTTACAGCTTAATTGGTGCAGTTCTTATTCTGGTTTATTGTGCGGTCACTGGACACACGTTCCGGGACTCTTTCGGAGGAAATGTGTTTAAAATCGGCCTATTTAAGGAACCGGAGTCCTTCTTTCGTTCGCTCTCCCCTGTTCTTTGCAGCAGTTAACTTGGGCTGGAGACAGACAAAGTTCGCCCTCTCCCTTCTGAGGTATCAGCTGAAATGTCTTGAGCAGATAGCTGGGAGCCTGGGGGAGCCCACACTCTCGCCTTACAGAGGACAAAGACAAAACAAGCTGCTTAATTGGCAGTAAATAACTTGATCTTTTTATAGAATAAGTGACTGGAGAAACACTAGGACTTTATTGGACTCCGGATTGGAGGCAACAAATTAATCGGTTTAAGCTAAGCTTTATAAATTGATTCCTATATTATACCCCAGTTGCTTCTCTTGTGGCATTCATTAGAAAGTGTGTGTGTATGGGGGGGGTGTTTAAAAGCAGTTTGGGGTGACAGCAGGACTGGCTTGAATTTAACTTGTGTGTCCCTCAGTAGTGCCTCCTCGCACATTATCTACCCCCCCCCCCCTTTTGGAGGAACAAAGCTCTAGCATTTAAATTGCTGATCAAGGGCAGATTAGCGAGACCAAAGTGGAGAGTGTTTGTATAGGAAGTTAACAGGCATCCTAAAGTTCAATGATCTATTATCCTTGCCTGTGTCCTGAAAACACTCATTGATCTTCAAAATGAAATGAGATTTGGAACAATAATGGGAGATGGCGGTCACCACAATGGCATGTGAAAGGTGCTGTTTAAAATACGAAAAACCAGTTTCGCAACTTTACACCCGGCACCCCCCTCCCCTCTCGCCACCTTGCCTCCCCTCCCACCACCTCCATCTCCCCTTC